CGCAGTTAATGTAGACAGATGATCTGCCTAAATTGTTAGTTTTTCATTCAAAATCGCATTGGTTCGTAGCCAGGTTAGGATTCAGTCAAGAAATGAGAACTGGATGGAAAATCTAAAATATAGCTGTTCCGATGGCTCAGTGCTTATTACCAGCTAAAAGTCGTGCTCAAACTGTTTGTGCTCAATCAGGCGGGAGTCAATTCTTAAGTAGGAAGCGCTTCTTCGGGTAAAATGCACTGAAACATCCCAGAAATTTGCATTTGCAGAAGCGTTTGTTGATACTCAAAATGAGAAGGTCGCGGCCTTCCAGAAGGTGTTCGAGTGTACATAAGAATTCAAATTGACGGTTGTTTGGAACTTGAAGAATTCGACATCTTTGCAATGAATGCAGGAATATAATTTGTGAGCACCGAATATCGGTGATTCAATTCGCTTTTTTTGGGGGGAGAGTTAATAAGGATTATTCATGACATAAATTCGTTATTCAATGTAGTTCATGTCACACAAGCACACTGAACTTGTTAATTGATAACTTCATTAGATGGCATTTATCCTAATCAACTCTTTAGGGAGACGATTTCGATTTTAGTTTCGTGTGAAAGAATACTCGAGCGAAATTAAAAATTAACATGACGACGCACAAATTGCGACTGAAGAGATAGTAATCGTTAGTGAGCATTCTTTTAAAGGGCAATGTTCACTGAGGCACTTATTACGTGATTCGCATTAATGCAACATGCATGGTTTCGCGATTTAATTTTTGTTTGCAAGTATCGTTTTGAATGAAGAGTTTTTAATAAACTAGGTGCTATGAATGAATATGAGATGAACACACACGTACCTGTAAAGAAGTTTGACAACAGAGTGTGAAATTACCGACGACACACTTCTCATCTGCAATCGTTTCAGTCGACATTTGAAACCGATGACGGCTGCTGAAGTATAAATGAGATGATGACAACTGCTTGACGGATATCTGGTGGTACTTCGAGAATTGGAGCCGAGACTATATAATAATCAATAATATTATTGAATAGAGCGATCAATTTGTAATTTTTCTTTCATCGTTAGACTTGCACTGGTGTTGAAGGCTGAAGAAAGGCACTTCTTGGACTTGAAATAACTGGACTCGCACTCGTGCGGGTGCTGATTTCAGAGCTAATATTAATTGCTTGAAGAGGGTCTGTTACTGCGAAACTGTTAGTGCTTATGCTTGGCGCACCACTGTAATTGGATTACTTTGTGGTGTGGATTGAAGCAAGTGGAAATATGCAACGATATAGTCGAATTTGACTGTGACAGATTATTTCGTAATTGAGAACACTTATTTTATTCTGAAATTATACTATTTCGAAATTAGGAACGAATGCTTCTAAGAGGGACATTTCTGACGCCTTCACGTTACGAATCTGAAAAATAATCTCCCAATGGGCATGACAGAAATTGGAGTAATTGGTTTGAATTCTAATTTCGTCAAAAAGCGAACGATCTCATCAAAGCATCTCATTGCTATCATTTCAACTAGTCTTCATGCTATTAGTCTTCCATCCGCACTGAGCCTAATATCACCGAAAGCACACATTCTTATCTAGTAACAAATGATTATAATTCATACGTAAATAACCATTTCAGATGAAATATCTACGAGAGCTCATTTGAAATTTTCACCAAATTTAGCATCGTCATTCAAATACTTCATTCATAAATCCTTTCATATTCATTATTCCAACGAACCGAATTTTTCACTTCCAATCTCATAAATCTTTCCTTACAAATTAACTGAAACTGTTGGAAGTATCAATTTTATCTTCCCCCAAACTCACCCATAACCAATCGTAAACAGCCGATATTACCCTCAAAATTTTCATTTGATGTATGTATGGTTTGCAGAGCTCAATAAATTCGATAGAAAAAAAAAGAGCACAAAAATGCAAACACTGCCTAACGATAACACATGAAGGAGTTTAGAAATCATCCGGCTGAAGCTAACCGACATCGCATCATAGAGCCGCTTGAATTGTGAAGATTACTGCTAACAACATGAGATTCTAGGTTTCTTGAAGAAATTATTCGGAAATGACCTGCTTTTTTTCACATGAATATTTGATCTGATTTCGTCTACGAATATTGCGACCAGATGATAGGTGAATTAACTAACCAACTTCGCCACCATGAGTGGTGTGCTCAAGTAACCGTAAACTAGGTATGTGCTACATAAAAGTAACCATAAATAAACTCGGAGTTTTTCGACAATATTCCCTATGCGAGCATGCGAGCTTCAATAATTCAGCTGATCTGATCGCTACTATTCCTTTTTTGTGATTTATGGCGCGATAAAAAACGCGTCATGATGAGAATGTCATACAGCCGATGCACTTCTCATTCTGAGCGCATTTTGGAAAGGCGAAACATTTCCATCTTCAAACATTAAAATCGCCTAGAATCAAAGAAAAACATCAGTGGATAATGTTCAACACTAAGTGATGTCATGTCGAAAACTTTTTTGAATTCAACATGAAACCTTCGCATTCTTAACGCAGTGAATCTAAAGTGCTTCATAAGAAACTTGTTTTAAAATAGAAAAATATATAACTCCTAGTTTAGCTGAATCTTACTTTCACTTTAACCATAAAAGTAATCCATTAAATGTCCTATGCAAAATTTTGTGTATCTCCTAAGTTTCATAACTGATAGTTTCGTACTCTGATAATGGAAGAGGCACCCAGCTCACTATCGTACATTTCAAGGCTGTGGAAAAACATTTGAAAAAGTTTCGCTCACAATCAGTCTTATGAAGCGATATCTTCCGTGACATTGTTAAGCTTGCTTCTGAATCGATGTAAAGTTCGGAATGAAGTGCGTTGATTCGCAGATATCAGCTGATGGGAGAGTCGGAAATATCGTTGCGAAACGTGAAAATGAACTTCCATTTATGCTCTTCAGTGAACAGTCGATTAAGTGCCGCTTGAATTAACAAAGCGCATCGGAAATTCTTATGATTAGTGTGTGACAAGCGGGAGAAGGTATATATTCTCAGTGATACACTGCTTTGAGACTTTTCACGGGCATGGGAATTTTGGAAAGAGAAAGTTGACGAAAGAAAACTTGGTATAAAGGATGTGTTGAGATGGTACGAGAAATAAATAAATGGTGAACGAAGAAATTTGAAAAAATTGTTAACAAGAGGCAAAGGCCACAAGCGATCTTCATACAGCTGACGATGAGATAAAGAAGCCTGAACCGACACCATTTACTATCCTCGCATCAGTCAACAAGCATCATCATCTTTTCAAGAGTATATTCACTCACCATCGACTCCGCCTTCTCTCTTCATCTGATGACAAACAAAAGGAGTCGAAAGAAATTGCTCCCATTCATTCGACATATGGTAATTTTGTTTTTGGAATTCACAATGGAGAGAATACATTTCTAAATTAATTCCATTATTGGCCAAGATCCGCGTGAACTTCTCCTTTCCGTTATTGAACTAAATTGAAATGCGGTTGAATAAGAGGGGAGCATGAATGAATACATTGCTCTGTCGAACGAACGACGCCAGTGAAATTCATCCAAAACTGATCTCGCTTTGATGCTCTCTGATTGCGTTGAAGGAACTCTCTCAGAATTTTATTTCACCCTTTCAAAAGTATTACATCTCATTGTGAAAAACTGAAATATAAGGTGGCGAGATGTTTCTACGAACGGATGAGGTGCAATTCACTAATGAAGTGCAATTGCAAACGATCAATGCTGCTAATTTACAGATGTGAGGAAAAAACAGTGAAAAAAGAGAACAGAATGATTGCATAGATCCATAAAATTAGCACAATTCAATTGTTATTTTTGGTGAACATCTGGCTTACGATCGGCGTGTTTATTTGTACATTCAGAACCAATAAACTGAGCATATTTTGGGGCAATGCTATGAAAATAGCATTGCCCCAAAATATGCTCGTGACTTCTTCTTCGAAATGATAGCCCTTCATCGACAATGACAGCAACAGTCAATCGTCGTTGGTTTTTAGGACATAACGTGGTGACGAACACATCTGATGCTTTGGAAGGAAGATAAGATGCTGAGAAGTATTTAATTGATGAGACGGAAGGATCATTTATGCAAGTAATTCTTGTGCATTCATGAGCGTAACCAATACGAAAAAATTCCTTCAGTTGCTCAACATTGCTGTTTCGAATGCAGCGTTGATTTGAAGGTATGATTCATTTCATGAGATAGCTTCGAACGGATTAATTTGCACTTATCCTTAGAATTAATTATAGCGATTATGAAAAGTGCACGATTATGGGTGTCCTGAAAGTGTTTTAACGAGATCCATTTATGAGTATCGTATTTGATCTTTTCCTAGCAGTATTCACGCAATTCGATTATCCAGCACAACTAGCGTTGAACATATTCTTTATTTATGAATAACTTCTTCAAACATCAATCCAATACATATATACACAAGAATTATTCACGAAACAGAATAGCCCTCCAAAATTCCTGTACTTTAAGGGATTTGTATTGAACAATGAAGGCAATCGATGACAATGCAAATTCTGGAGTTATTCTTTGAAAGGAAAGGACGAAGACTTTTCACGTTATTTTCATTCTCGTTTCGAATGCTACTTCTGGTCAATAATGTAGCAGATGAGCAGTTATGCACTCATTGCCTATAGTTTACAGGGATCAACCCTGAGCAATCAAGATTCTATCGTAAGTGAAAGTTTCTGCTAACGTCAACTCATCAACGATGGAAAGAGCTGAGAACCGATCGTGTAATCTATGCTTATTGAAACGAACCTTTTCAATGTTTGGCTGAAGGAACAGTGCATACAAAATTGGTGCATGGGGAATATATCAGAAATTCGAGTTGGTGTGTTTCCGAAAATCGTATAAGAAAGTTTTATCGCTGATTTCAGTCACACAATTATTATGATAATTATTATACTTCTACAGAGGCACTTGACAAAATAAAGATCACTAAATGTTTAATGCTCTCTTAGATTCGATTGTGTTTCTTTGATCCTTTACCTTGATTCGTTGAAGTTTGCGTTGTCGAGTCTTTGCTTTTAGCCTTGTTGCGTTTATCGGTGCCCTCTTGTGGCGATTCTGCATTACCTGCCGAAGCCGTATCTGGAAGTTCTCATTTGATAAAGACTAAGAATTTGTTTTGTGTTCAACTGAATTGTTGACTAATTACATAAACTGTTGCCTATTTGATCAATAGGAGGCGAGAAGAACAATAATAAAATGGGATAGAAATAACTGTCTTCACAAATATGTGGATTGATTGGGAACATAGCAGCTGATTGTAATTTATTAGTTCAGAACTAAGTTCGATGAACAGTTCGATCAAGCAAATGTTATCAATCGTTCACCTAAATGATGAATAGACCTATACAATACGTTTTCCTTGGAAACAAATCATTTATCCTCAAAAATTGCGTTCACCTTCCTCCAAAAGTTGGTCATCGTCTTGGAGCGTTTCATCGGTTGTCTCAGTGATCACTTCCTCTTTCACTGTTTCATTCTCGTCATCACTTTTTTGAATTTCCTCATTAACTGTACCTGCAAGCAAAGCATTCAACTCTGAGTGCTAATCGCATTCAATATCATCTTTTTTAGTTGATTTATGCCAGTGGCAAGGAGTAGCAGTTGGCCGCAAGGGAGATCTTCGTCTCCCTGAAGGGGGCGTTCCCTCAATGAAGGGGAGTTTGAAGCGTAAATTTTAATCACATTTTTAGCAAATATAATTTTGAAGACTAATGATTACCAATTAATATGATAATACATTGAAAATGGCACCCTCGAAATTTTCGGCACTAGAACGTCATTCAGCTGTGACTGTAGGTGGCAAATTACTTCCAATTCTGGAACGCTCAGTTTTATTGCTTCACACTGTTCGGCTTTTTTCGTTGACTTTTACTTTTTGAATTTTCACACTTTTGGTCTCACGAATTGATGAGAAAAAATGGATTTGAAGGTCTTTTAGAACTACTCATCGATTCAATTAGTGTGCTTCTTGTTACATTTTCTGGCTAAATTTTTTGATTGTCACTTTTTCCTGGAATGAAACCCATAATTTTCTTATTTACATGCTTCACTTTTATGAGTTTGTTCGTTTTAACGATCCTACTTCGACAACTCGCCGTTGTTCTCAGCTGCGTAATTAACTGCAGTCTTTTGTCATCGTCCTCTCTTTCTTTCGGTACATTTTTATGCTCGTTATGAACATTTCCATTCTATGGCTTGCATTCACATCTGTCGGGAATTGATTCGCAACAAATATCAAGAATGAAGAACGCAGATTTTTATGCATCAAATGGTCATGTCAGATATTTTAAAGTCTAATATTTTAATCCGATGAATTTGTTCACAGCATATAATTAAAACGACCACCCCTCTCAATGCTCTCCAGTTCATTTCCCCATTAGCACCTACGACTCATTATGGATGCATGACAATCGGGAATCAGTAAACGTCTCTTCCATTTGCAATCGATGAGAAATTGCGAAAAAGTAGCGATACACTCGCCTCATTTTACCAAGTTATAACTAACTGTTGAGGAGTAAAGGCGATGTGTTAAATAAACTTTCCGATAGAAAAACGACTCAAATTTTTCATTCAAATTGCGTGAGCAGAACCGAACCGCAAGACTTGGTCGTAAACAATGCGAGTTTCGAGTGAAAACAATTTCTATGATACCATAAAAAATGACTTTGAACAATTTAACGACTCTTTCTTAGTAACTTTCAAAAAATCTTAAAAATTTAAACGCTGTAACCTTCTGAGTCATTTTGGGTATTTTGTTGTTTGAATTCGTGCACATCATGTTCTTGTTGTTGCTCTGTAATTGGTTCATCGTCACTTCCGTTCTGAGTTTCAGCTTCAACCAACGATGATTCTTAATTAACGAAGCATCATTCTCGATTAACTATAAATTCTCCTCCACAACAACATCACACGTGGCAGCAAATATGAGCTGATCCAAAATATGAGCCGATCCAAACAAATAACCAAACACATTCATACGATCGTAAAGGAAATGATGAAACGTTCACATGAAACAATTTCACATGGAAACAAATCTAGGTGCTTTGGAAAAAAGTCTTGCTGACTGATTTGCGAATAGATTATTTATTTATCAAGTTTCATTGATGAAGTGATGCAAACACTTGCTTGAACCTGGCGATGAAGAGGTTATAAAGAGCGCTTGCTGATTATTGAAACGACATTAAAATCATTTGTTGGCATTACATTAACATTATGACCTTTACTCGAGTGAATGTTGAAGTGATTAAGATCCTCTCGGAGAAAGAGACGTTCTGGTAAATGAAACATAGCCTTGAAGTCGAGTGGTCACATAAAATTCACTGTTCATTTCACAAGTACAGTAAATGACTGTGCGAGAAAATATGCATTACACTGAACCACAAACCTTATCAGCCGGTAACTTCGTCTCTCTATGACATACTTCAGTAATGGATGAAAGGATGCAAGAAAGGCTCAGACTATTTATCAATTTAATGAAATTATCATACACACAACCAAACGATTCGTGTTAATGAGTTTTCAAGCAGTTCGTTATATTTCTGTTCATTTTCTGAATTCATTCAACAGTTTTTTCGCACAAATACAACGATACTCATCACTTTTTATTGAATTTTCTCATTTTTCTAGCACTTTAATTTTCATAGTGCTGCGTAATTAATGAAAAAGTTTGCCGAAGGAAACTTTCACTTCAAATGCTTTGCTCGCGTATGAAACAAACAACTGAAATGCTTCTGGTGAGAAATCGATGAATTTATGTGAATTATTTAGTGATACAAAGTTACGTCATTACTTCAGCTACCATTATCCCTTGATTCGTGCGTCAGTCGTTGTACTTTTACGGAAAGTTTTCATATTTTCAGACGTCATTACTTTAGTTACCATTATTGCATGAGTATTTCTTCAAACAATGGAGATCGTTTTCATTAGAAAACGCTTTTGGTGTCATATGAAACATCTGAGTCTTTCATATAGGTATGGAAATATTCATTTGCTGAATATGCGCGAAAGAGCTGTTTGAAAGAGAGGAATAGAAAAATGAAAAAATTAATCACCTTCATTGTTTCCTTCCCCACCGGAACCTTCTTCCAGTGCATCGGATGATTCATTTTGTGCATCAATTTCTTCGTCTTGATCAGATTCTAAATATTTTTTGAAATTTTTTTTCAGTTACAAAGTGTTCCATTTCCTTCAACAAATTTCATGTCGATATTACTTCATCGCTCAATTTTTACGTATCATTCAATCGAGAACACCAATCTGGCATATACCACGCATCACATTGTTTTCTAACAATAGCTTCATTCAGCACAATTTATATTTTGCCCATTCGATCAACTACTTCTAAGTAGCATCATCAACGATCGCATTTAAACGATATGTACATCGGCAACATCAAGCAATAAACAGCATAATTATGAGGAACATTAATTTCTCTTACCATCATCTCGTCTCCCAGAATCGAGCTCAATTGCATCCGTCGTCACATCGTCGGCACTCGATTGCTTATCATCGCTTCCATTCACTGCTTCACTCTCTTCAGATGGATTCACCCCAGTTGTAGCA